GTAACGTGTGCTTTTTTCTTTTGGACTAAAAGTTTTTTAATTTAAAAGTTTCTTAATTTTGTTGAAAATTTTATGATTAAAAGTTTTTAACAGTATAGAAAATATATAGGCAAAGAAATGTTTCCCTTCCTCAACCTGGCCACTCTATTTTTTCTCTCCAGAGGCAAAATTTTTAATGGATTATGTTTTTGTGCATCTTTCAAAAGTAATAAAAGTTTTTTACACAAATGTGTCTCCTCTTTTCACATTGTTAGAAATCAGTTTTCCACTAATCATCAGGAGGTAAACACAAATCGACCTCAGCCATTAATATTCTGCAATATGATCATTTTTGTTCCCATTACAGTTATGCATACAAGTTCTAGAGTCAAATTCGGTGATTACGAAAACAGCACTCTTAACTATTTCTTGTTCACCGGACGTAATCATTAAAAGTTCTAAGTTAATTTTTTTAGTATTTTTTTAAAAATTTCTAAAAAACATGCTTATATTTCTACTACTTGATGTTTCACTTTTCGGTTTTGATGTTATATAAAGTTTATATATTTTCATTTTCTTTCAGAAGATGAAAATTTCTCTTTCACGCATACATCTTGAACTTACCACACAGCTGTAATTGGAGTCAACTATTCTTCAAATATCATACTCTTGCTTGTATCAATATTCAGTGTTTTTTATTATATGGCTGTGTAAACACTACTCAAGTCTGAATCATGAAGTGTACTATGAATGCTTTTCCTATACAATAAAATTGTCTTTTTTTTGTTTTTCTTTTATACACTTACAATTAAAATATCCTAAAGTACTCCCCCAATGATATAAATCGCTCAAAACATCAAATATATTATAACAATTTTGTCTTTCTAAAACTATCTCTCTTGGAACTTTCTGGCCTATTCCAATCTGGACTAGTAGCCCTGGGTTGGCTATCTGTCATTGATTTTGAAATTTTACTCCAATACCATTCTTGAGGATGGGTGGTTCCTTGACCTTTTTGCTGCATGGTATCTCAGTTTTCTGGATTCTGTGTTTTCTCTTTTTTAAATTTATTCTCTTGTTTTGGTACAGCACAACCACTAATAAACTCCTGAGTAAAGGTTCTTGAGATGGAAATTTTAAAGACTTTTCATATCCAAAAATTATGCCTTATTCTATCTGAACTACAAAAATCATTTGGCTGGAGATGGAATTCTAGTTTGGAAGTTATTTTCCCTCAGAATTTGAAAGACTTTTTTCCATCGTCTTCCAGCTTCTAGTGTTGTTATTGAAAAAAATAATACCATCCTAATTCTATGAAGTTCATGGTTTTCTTTCTAAAAGTTTATAGAATCTCCTTCATCCCAAATTCCACAATCATGAGCCAATTATACACTTTAATGGAATATTTCTGATCTGGAAACTCACGAGAACTTTTCTTGAATTATTTTTTGAAGTTTCTTTCTTCCTTTTTTTTTTTTTTTGTTTCATTCTCTTTTGCTAGATAGAGCTTCTGCTTACCAGATGTTGGGATCCTAGATTATATCTCTAATTTTCTTATATTTTTCCTCATAATTTTTTTGCCTTTTTACTCAACTTTTCGAGACTATTTCCTCAATTTGATCTTCTAATCCTTTTATTGAGCTTTCCAAGAGCTTTTTTTGTTCCATTTATTTCTTGCTTATAGCAGCTTATTCTTGTTTCTTAGATACAATATAGTCAATCTTCACTCTGTATAATACTGCAGGATTATAAAAATGAATATGACCAAGCAAGCAGGAACCATGCAAAACAATCTTAATGATCAATTGGGAAAATGACAATTGTTCTGTAAACTTTAACAATTTTTCACAACATGAAAAATTCATATTATCAGTTTTAATTATATGGGGAAATGAAAAATAATAAAACATACTTACTTAGTACACTGTAATTTAAAACATTAAAAGCATTGAAATTTAAAGTGTTTTCTATCTGGAAATAATGCTTGCCACCTTCTCATGATATAACTTACAATACTTAATGAGCATCTTTACCATGTTTTGAATTATCATGCTTCTAAGTTTGGAAAAGCTTCCAATTATTTATCCTTGGTGCTTTTAGTGTCATGAAATGTTTCTGAGAGCCCTTTAATGTGAATTGTTTTGCCAGTATCACTTCATTCTTTTCATCACAAACACTTTCATCCACATAAAATATTTACCAATTATAATATCCCCTCGAGTTAACCAATCCTGGGAAGGTAGGTGCAAATTTCATAGCAGTATCCTTTTCTGCTCTAGAAACTTCACAAGATAGCTTACATTAGTCAGTTCAGTCAACTTTTGAAATAATGAAGCTAGCTTTTACTGGCAATAAAAGTTTCTTCTTCTATGCCTTTGTAATCACTACTTTCTTTTAATATGACGACTAACATCGACACTTTTCCCTGAATGCCAGCCAAATATTTTTTTTTAATTACAGTTTTCAGTCCTATCTAGGTGGCTTTCTGTTCCTAGTGTACTTTAATCTAAAAGATGTCGAAGCAACTTTACTTGTTTTTTATATTCACTGAACTTTTACAATATGGTTCATGTAGGTCCCTTCCTGTCTTGCTTCCTATCACCATTTCTAATTATATCAAATTTCACTTAGAGTGCTACATTTCTAATTTCATCGTTGCACTTTCATCTTTGTTGGCCGATTCCCTTTCTTCATTAACCATTCTGGAAAATGTCACATGGGTTTGTTTATCAGTGAAGAAGAAGGAGGCTACACAACTACATACTTTGCTGTCTGTGTGTGAACAGCTGTACAATAAACAATCACAGACAGACTTTGAAAGAAGGGATTGGTCACTGATCGTGATGAGTGTGCATCTATTATTATTTAGTGACTGTGGGCAGAGAAATGTGTACACTGTGTGGTTACCCATAGTTAACACAGGTGTACCTTGGAGATATTGTGGGTTTTGTTTCAGACCACAGCAATAAAGCGAATATCTCAATAAAGCAAGTCAGATGAACTTATTGGTTTCCCGGAGCATATAAAAGTTATGTTTGCACTATACTGTAGTCTATTAAGCGTGCGATAGCATTACGTCAAAAAAATTTACATGTCTTAATTTAAAAATACTTTATTGCTAAAAAATGCTAACCATCACCTGAGCCTTCAGTGAATCTTATCTTTTTGCTGGTGAAGGGTCTTGTCTTAATGTCGATAGAAATGCAATATATGAAGTGCAATAGAGCAAAGCACAATAAAATAACGTATGCCTGCGTACTATGGTAACTGAAATCTGAACTGTATTACCAGGGGACTGGTGTTATAAACTAAACTGTGTAACTGATATTCATGCATGTTGGAACCATGCAAAGTGAGAACTGCCTGTGCATCTCTAATTTTGACAAGGGCATTAATGATAGTATTTAAACCATTTTCCCATTGTTTCCTCCAATTTACTTTCTCCGTATTGATTTCTCTCTGCTATTTATTTGTTTGTTTGTTTGTTTGTTTGTTCTATTCTCAACTTTGATATTAGATATTGGTCTGATTTGCTCAAATGTAAGAGTAAAGCACTAAAAACTCATGTGTAGAGTTTATTAACTTGGCCTTCACTGTTGAGTGATCTGGCTGGGCCATTTCTTAAAGAGTATTGAATATTAATGCCTTTAAGTCTTATCTTTTGGGATGGTCAGAGTCTCCAAAGAACACTTTTCAAATGTCCTTCCTGGAGAGTATACCACCTTTATACATCTTATACATACCTGTCTCCTCGGAATTGACAGCAAGAGAGAAGGCCGTTTTCCATTCACTTCCTTCTTTTCATTTTGGTACCTTTATTTGTAACCATGCCAGTAGAGGAACACTCTGTTTTAGTCTCTCCGGAGAATAAACCTCCAGTGTTCTGCTAAGGTGAAAGATAGGCAGTCAGACCACCTGCTGTTTTTAACCATACCTTAACTTTACTTCTAAAGATCCATTATGTCACCAGATCCAGAGCTTCTTCAGATTGGCACCTTGTGAATTTTGTCACTTCTTGACATTCTCCATTGGTAGTTTAGGATTCAGCTTTCCCTGGTCACTTACCACCTATCCACTGCTCTCTAGTTTTTGAAATTTGGTTGCAATTTTTCCACTTCTTTGCCTTCATAGGTTTATTGTTTTTAAAATAAAAACTTTATTGTCATTCTAATGAGGCTTTATGAGGGAGAGAAGGTTAAATGTATGCAGTCAATTCACTATCTTTAATTTAAAGCCTCTCATTTAGAAAAATAATATACCAGTGGGTATTTTTTTAATATCCTGTACTAAACCCTTGACCAAAGAAAAGCAGAAAATTGAATCTAATAGATGGATAGAAGATGATAAAGCTGTGGTTTTATTCTTTTCTTATTTTGCCCGTTTTCATAGAATAAAAGGTATGATATTTCTTTCTGTTACTTTTCTTCCAGAGATGTTAACAAAGGCTTTACCATCTTTCTGTCATTGATCTTTATGTTTTCATTATCATAACCATATTAAATCAACCATAAATATTGTAAGAGCATTTTGCGTAAGAGATTTATAACACTTTCTTGAAATGGTTTCAGTAGTCTTATTCAATTGCACTTCCTGGCATTTTGAATAACCCTCTTAATATATTCTGTCATTCCCATCTGTTTTGATTTAATGTTGATTATACAGACACACGCATTACAAGAAGCCAGCTGATCACTTCAGCACTGAGTTATGCATGCATTAGAACCAAAGTATTTTCAGAAATGAAACATAAAACTGCTATTGTTAAATTATATTCAATTTATTAAGTTACTCCTGGGTAGATTATGTAGACCTCTGAAAAATTAAACATTAGATGTATTCATAGAAAATCATGCCACTGCATTTTAACCAGCCACTAATTCCCTAACCAGGGAAAATATATTGAACACAGTCGAAGGTTAAGGCAGAGGAGTACAGTGAGACTAGGAAGCAGCCAATCAGATGGCGAGGGTCTAAAGATCTGATGCCTCCAGGCAAGCAGCACCAAGCTGAGCTGGTTAGTCTCCTCTCATTGCAGACGAACACCACCACATACACGTCGTAAATGCTCCCCGTGTGGGCAGCAACCACCAAGCAGACCCGTAGCTGAAAAGAGAGGGATACATGCCCAAGCAACTCATTCTGCTCAGCAGCGGACAAGACAGCGATATTCCTGTGCTGGAATGTTCTCATTCAAAGGTATCGATTCTTTTTCCTTGAGTTGCTATGTTTCTTAAGGATTAAGGAAAGTAGAGATGCTAGTGCTGGAGGATGATCTCTCTGCTTTCTAGTAATGCTTTGTTCCTGTTCTCAGTCTAAATGTCAGCCTTTTAAGATGGTTAACCTCTGGGGGAGACGGTAATAAGCAGAATAAAGGAACACTTTACATTGCTTAAGCTGACTGTGCACAGACCCTTTATTAGGACAGACTCTTTGTTACTATTGCTATTGTTCTGAAGGTAAACTGGCTAAAATTGCAGCTTAAAAGCCATCACATTCTGCTACCTTTATAACTAAGAGACCCAGGGAGGGAACGGTTGGGGGCGGGGCAGGGTGCAGGAAGGGGCTACATATCTTAAAGCTTGCTGCAATTTATCTAGCTATCTACCAGCCTCAGAGAGAAAAAGGGCCATACTGCTGATCTAAAGTACAGAAAGAGAATTTTGTCACTACGAGAGTTCCTCTATGCTTTTGACACAAGTTTTATAAAATACGAGCACTTTGCATATTCTCATCATGCTTAATAAAGATGCCTTAATTATCATTTATTACTGACAGCTGGTGTAATCGTCCAAAAGTCATCAGCATATTAGGAGCTCTTGTTTTAGTTGCCAAGGTAATAGGAAGGATAATTTAATATGTTACAGAGTAACAAAAGACCCATGAGAAACATATGCATTAGGTGAGGCAGGAGATTGCTTTGTGGAGCATTTATTTTTTGGAATGAGTTCCTTCTTTTGTCTCTCCTCTGCATCAATTATCTGTTAGAAGGAATGTATGAAACAAGGACTTGCATCATGTACCATATATTTAGAGTAACACAATTATTTCTTCTGTACATTAAGCAACATTTAATTCGTGTCTATGACATTAAATTGTTAGCCATATGGAAAGGTTTCAATGGTAAGTTGTCCACTATCCTCCATGGAACATTGGAAATCACACATTCGTGTGTTATCAATGTTGGCCTGGATGAAGTTGAGATAAACTGTTGTCCCAGGGAGCAGAAATCAAAGCAGGGAGTGCTCAGCTTCATTTTCCAGTTATCTCGCAAAAGCATGGCCCATTACATTTTAATCTTTATAGCTAATTGTCAGGGGTAATATTTTCATATCTCTGAAAGCTCTTCTAAGTAATGCAGATTCTTTGTGTAGTTATTTTTTAAAAGAGGGGAAATATTAAGACATTGATTATAGTTTCTAAATTTCCTGGCCGGTGGTGTTTTTATTTCTGTTTTTATTCATTTATTTACTAATTATGGTCTGTAGAGCTAAATACTCTTTGCTCCTGCAACATCAATTTAAAATTTTAAGGTTTAAAAATCAAAACAAATAAAAATAATTATATTTTTATTATACGTCAAATTTTTGACTTATTTATTTCTGTGTTTAAAATATATTGCTTTGGAGAAGGCAAAATTAACTAATTAATTGGATGGCCATAGGGAGTTCGTTAATAACATTGATGAATGGTAATGGGAATACAGGAATTAGTATTATTTTGCAGAAGAGAATACAGAAGGATAGTATCTTATATTTGAGCTATAAGTGTTCTGACACCTGAGATGATATGAAATTTATTTCTACTAAAGGAAGAATAAAAAGAACAGTCAAGATGTAATCTTAGAAAATAGGGTTAGAGTCAATGAAGCTTTTCAGGGTGTCAGGAGACAGATTAAAGGGAATGATTTCAAGCCAAAGGAGGGGCATTGCACTCTGAGGCAGCACAGGGGTAAAATAATGGACCCAGACTGGCCTTGGGTACAGACAGACCTGGATTAAATCCCACTACTGCCACCTACTCCCTGTGCAACCTGGGTAGATTAGCCCCACCCAGCTGGCTTCTGAGACTTAGGAGTCTGTATAATTATAAGTAGTTCACATAACTATGAAAAGGGTATAATTAAAAAGACATGGCATTGAAGTCGATTGTGACCTTGTTAAGATTGATGGGTGGAGACATGCCTCCTCCTTATACTTAGAAAAAGGGATTCACTGCAAGGGAAGAAGAAAGGCCCTTGTGAGTTCATCTCTGTCCTCTACCCTCTTCACTCTCTTCCATTCCCCAATAATGTTCTGCCTTCTGAAAGTATTGCCTTCAGTGTAATGCTTTGAATCCTACTTAAATGCAAATAGCCTTGGCAAGACTACTTTAAGATATTATTACTCCTTGGTCTACTGGAAGGACCTGAGAGCAGATATTGATAGGGGAATGCTGAGTAGGAGAGATTTTTTTTTTTTTTTTAAATAGAGGGTGGGAAGTTCCAGGTAAAAAGGATGCTATTGAGAGAGGAAGAACTAATTGGTGAGTCTAATGACTGGGAAACTATCCTACCAAAATAACTTAATAAATGCCTACAGAGAGACAAGGTCAGCGAAGAACATAAAATTAGGCTGTGGGTTCAAAATAAAGTGGAAAGCCTCGATAGCCAGCAGGCTTGGTGAGAAGCATGATACATACACACTTTGCTTTTCTTAGTCACCTACGGGGATGTTTGCTGCAAGCAGTGACTTCATGCTCTTCATAAGAACTTATTTATTAGCTTAAAGGGAAATAAATAAGAGGAAAGGAAGTAAAATCTAAGGTACAGAACAAATTTTATCTTTATGGCATAGTAATTTTTGCCAGAGTGCATGTCAGGAGTTAATGTAAAGAATGACTTTGTTGAAAACTAACTCTGGCTGTATGCACGCTCAACCTAGATCTGAACATAGAACATCAATACAGCCTCTGAGCAAGAATGATCTTCACATTTGTGTAGCCCTCCAAACTCTCCCCATTCGAAGTAACTCAACTACACCTCCTAGATTTTCTTAAACTTGAATTATCATTTTCTTAAACTTGAATTATCCCATTCGTTCCTTGAATTATCATTTTCTTAAACTTGAATTATCCCATTCGTTCCTTGAATTATCATTTTCTTAAACTTGAATTATCCCCTTCGTTCCTATGCTCCCATCTATTTAGAAATGATTAGATCTAGTGGAGGTTGCATGCTACTTGAGGGCTGAATATTTAGGACACTGCCCAGGCAGGGTGGTAAATGGGATGGTCCTGATATTTCCAAGGTCATTCCCACTTACTGACCAGTGTCTTCAATCTTACCTTTAAACCACTGAAACGTAAACACCTCTGGATGAAGTAAGGCTATAAAAAGCTATTTTAAATTTTCTCTTCTACAACTTTTAATTTTCTTCCTTTCTTTTTATAGTTTTGGGCATGTTTGTTTTCTTTACCAGATTGGAGTTCTTCCAGGAAAATGATAATTCTGACTTCAAATTGATCATTGCCTAGCTAAAGGCCTACCGCTTAGAAAATATTACACTAATATTTGCTTATCTTATTAATACAGTTCATTTCCCAAGAAGCCCATCAGCGTATGCACATTGAACTACCAAGATACCCAAGTTACATGAAGGAAATGTGACCACATTAAAAGCATCCATTTGACTTCTCAATAAAATCTATGAATTAGGGAAAATTTACCTTTGTTCGACATCTCTCAGCAGCGTTAAGTCAATATATCCTGGCACTCTTGTGGTACTGATAATACCAAGGGACTGTGTTTATGCCCAAGCAAATCTGATAAGCTCACACCAATAAAGTAATAGGTCACTCTCATTAGTGTAGGAGCCAAGTCCAGAATGTGCAATGTCCAGGAGGCCTGGTGTGAACTGCTGTAAAGAGACTTTGGAATTATCTGCCACCTACTGGGAAATGAGGATTGGAACCTTAAGGACAAAAGACAGGGAGTATAGAGCAGCAGCACTAGCCAGACAGTGAGCTGGGCTTCTGGAGTCATATCAAGGACTTCAAGAATGAGCCAGGATGATCAACCCCGCTCTAATCTTCAGAAGACACAGTAAGCCCTTCCTGAGACATTGTTTGAACAGTTTTGTTTCATCCCTCACAATTTTGTAAATCCTTCTTATGTCTTTTCAAAATCTTTGTCATGAACTGGGAAAGGAAGCCAAGTGTATGTTTCCCTTAATAAGCCAGAAGTGATGATGCCATGGTACCTGCCTGTTAACAACCAGGACTGTGTTATTATAAAATGAGGCAGTTCATGGAAAACAAGGGAGTTATCTGGCCCAAAGACTACTCCGCCCAACCCCAAAGAAAAGTTGTCTTGTTTTGTTTTAGTATGATGTCATTAAAGAATCACTTAGAGGTAGTGTCTGGGTTTATGACCTGAGAATCAATGTAAGATATCATCTTTCTCTCTCCTCTTTAAACTCTACCATTAGAATTTTTCCAATGGGCAGACACAGAGAAAAATTTGTATGTCTACTCGGTGGACATTCAGCTTCCTCTTGAACCACCTGGGGACTCTAGTCTATTCATATTTCATTATAAAGACATTTGAGCTCCCTCCCCCATAACACCAAAGAACAGACAGCCATCATTATACAGGTCACAGTATAATTTCTGAAGTGTCTCTCTAAAGCCCATTCAGCCTATTCTCAGAGGAAAAACAAACAACACTAATTTTAAAAAACAGACTCCCAACAAGTTAAAATGTGTATTAAAAATTAAAATACTATTCCCAGCATGGTCTTTTGTTACTCAAGGCTCCAAATATGCCATTCTTCACTGGTCCAATCCCTTCTAAAGTATGCTATAATAGAATTTGAATTTTGCAGTGAAGTGTGCCTTAGTTCAAATCTCAATTTTACCATTTTAGTAGTTGACCCTTTGATTTCAATCAATAAAATAAAACTGATATCATTCTACCTTATACTTCACTTGAAATTTAAATGGGATAATGAGTGTCTAGTATCTACGATGCCATCTGTCGCAGAGTAGACATTTAATAATTTGGAAACAATTCTTTCTGCTCTAGAGTCAAGTCCAAATGAGATACTTGGCATTGCATAGAGGGAACTTTTACTTACCTGACATATGCCTACCTTAGCAGCTTTGCCTCCTGCCCGGACCAATCCACTGATTATTTCTCAACCTTATTCTCTGGCAATACT